GAAAAAGTGGTTCTATAGCACCCTGTGGGGTTTTGTTTTTAGCATACTATGAAAACTCCATTCAAAAATATCAAAAAATAAAGAGTCAATTTCGAAGCGCGCAAACCTCTACAAATCGTATTTTGGACGAATTTTGTCTACTGTTTCGTGCTGCCAATCCAAGTGTTGCGGCGCAATGTACGGACTAAGAAAGGACGTATTCAAATAATTTGGTGGCCCTATTTCATATAATATCGCGTAGATAAGTCGTTCTGCAAATAGGTACTCATAATCGCGATCTCTGATACTCCTCGATTTTAAAGCCGTTTTACTTCCCACGCCAGTGGCGAGGAAGTATTGTAATCTCGAAACATTTCTAAAATGAGATGTAAGCACATCTTCCATGGTATAACCTCTTCTTGCAATAATTTATTCGCTTACTCCCCAATGTATTTTGCGATTATAGAGTTGCACTGCTCCACACTATTGTTGACCTCATCATGAATTAAACTCTCTGCATCCGTAATTAAAATGGTCACATATAACCTTTTATTGTCCATTATCAACCTTGATAAAAAAGGCACTCAAGAACAATCACACCAACAAGAGTACAACACAACAATTCAACAACATAATATTGACGAACAGTAACAAGCGGAGAAAAATACTAAATGATCACTTGCTGAGTACCAAAATAGGAAAGGATTTACAGGCTAGATCGCTAATCGAAATTCGACTCTGTTATTATAGAAATTCACCTTGGTATGCACCGGTAGTCATCCTTTCCTCTTTTAAAGTAGCGCCGACGACCGTCTAGTGCCAGCCCACCCTCGTTTCCTTTTCACCCCCCCCCTGTACCCTTATCACGTCCAGAGAGTCCAGGCGTTGCTACCTACATACTACCCCCTAAGAGCAAAATTTTGTGAGTGGTTATTGCAAGAAAATGCTAGAAATTCCAGTTTTACGGCTGATATTTCGGCCACCGTTGAAGCTATTTTTACTCGTAACGAGATAACCAATCTTCAGAATACACACGTTTGGTCATTTGAGAATCCACACTCATTGGTCCAGACACACTTCGTTTTTCTTTAAACATGTGGGCAGTTATTGTCGACAAACGTCTAATTTGACTGTTCATATTGCCAGATCGGATAAGTAGTGAAACACTCTGTATACAGGGTGCTACTAAAGAACAAGCCAAAGCAAACATGAATTTTTTCAAATGCAATACAATATATATTTATTCCACATTTGGATAGAACTTCTAAAAACAAGAATATATATATAATATAATAAAGTTTCAATAGGTGACAGATCTGGACTGCTAGAAACCCATTTCAAAGGGGGTACATTATTTCCTTCCATCGATTTTATAGCCTTTTTTGAGTTATGGCACGCTGCACCATCTTGCTGAAACACAAAATCTTGGCAGGATGTCAAACATTCTTCCATCACTGGTAAAAGCGATTCTTCTAAAATTTCCGAATATTTCTTTGTATCCACATTTCCATCAATAAAATGAATTTTACCTGCTCCTTTTGATGTCATACTGCCACAGACCATAATGGATGCTGGGAATTTCACTTTTCTTTTCTGACAGTCAACATGGAATGCTTCATTTTTTTGCAAATAACTCTACTGCGACTGTCACCTACACAAACTTCGAATCGGGTCTCATCACTTCATTGTATTGCACACCATTGTTGAGGTGTCCATTGTCTATGTTCTTTAGCCCATCTAACCGATTTTTCTTGTGCAGCGGAGTTAATAGTGCCTTTTATTTGGCCTATAAACAAGTTGTGCAACTTTAGGGTTTTTACTTCACTTTTTTTTATAAGAAAACTTACCTTGCAAGTGCTAAATCCCAGTTTGTGGGCCTCTCTATGAGTTGTGGACCTCGAAATTCTCCTTCCAACAGCGTCACTCCTCAGAGCACTTAATTGTAAATAATTGGCACGCCTGTTTTTCACGATTATTCTTCGTAATGCTCTTCGGACGGCATTTGTGATATTACTTTTTTTCACATATCGTGGCTTAATATTAACTGGACCAGTTACGTTTTATCTTCTAACAATATTTCTCACACTGTACCGCGATAAGTCTAACAAAGTTGCAATTTCTGAGTTTGATTTCCCAGAATTAAAAAAATTAATTATCAGTAACCGAATTTTCTCACTAATAACCTTTCCTCTACCCATTTTTGAAACCTTAACTACCCAAAACTATTTTAAACGTATTCTGACAGCTGTGATTAATAAAAACAATTGTCATGGCTTTTATTTTTCACAGCCTCCTTGCGTTATAAACTTATTTTGCACTGAAATGAAAGTAGGTTGATATGCTGTAATTGCAAAATATTCATTTTTAATATTTTAAACCTATAACACCCTGCTACATTTTTATTATTTGTGTTTGATAAGAAAAAAACTAGGGTTTAAATAGTTGGGCCAACTGAAGTGGGAAGGGGCTCGTATATATATATATATATATCACATAACATAAATGCTTTTGATTGTCAATTGTTTAAATATTGTGAAGTGTCTGAGAAAATGGCCAACCCTGATGGCTCTCGTCTCCGCGATTTATATATAAATATATATATATATATATTTAGATACATATTATTGTTATCTGTTAAGCTGATCTGGAAGAAATGCAACATACCTTTCTATTTATACAGGGGTATCTCAAAACGCAAAATGTACCTTTTCTCATTAATTGAAAATGGAACTCTCTGCGTATATCTATCTCATTAAATAGCTTTCTTTGGGAACTTTTTTTGATATAAGACCTGCACGAGTTTTTTGGAACTGTTTCCGAGTTATTACTACTAATTTTTATAAAATTATATATTCCGCAGTTAGACGTAAAATCAGATCTTCGATAAGAACAGTAAACTTTTTTCATATAGCAAGACTCACCTTAAACCAGAACGTCATTCATTATAAAATTGTTGTAATACATTCCAAGTATATATACGTAAATATACCCAGTGCCAAAAGAATGAGATATACCCCCGCATCGCCTGCAACCCCTAACCATTTTTGAAATTGAAATTCTTTATTCATATCACAATACATAAAATATGTTTGCATACGTCAATAGAACAAATGAGAATTGCATTAGAATTAAAACAAAGGGAGTGCTAATGATCATAAAAAATTACAAACAAATACACCAACACTCATAAAGATATAACGCTAACATAACATATTAAGATTTATAGTTAAAATGTATGTCTTAAAAACTCGTCAAACGTGTAAAATGAGTTATTAATAAGAGTTTTCTTGATTTGAACTTTAAAATCTTTAAACGGAAGCGATTTTAAGCCGTCTGGAAGTACCTTAAAAAATTTGACCGCCCAATAACCAGGTCCATCTTGACACCTTCTCAGTCGCCAATAAAGAGATTGTTCTTATGCCTAGTATTGTGCTCATGGACGTCCCCACGAGTTACATAGTTAGACTTTCTTTTAACGAAAAGTAGATTTTCAACAATATATACTAATTGACATATAAATCCGAACACCCAGTTTAAATGGTTTTATTTTAATAAAAGTTGGTGAATGTACTCGTATTTATCTTACTGTAAATAACAAGTGAAAAAATTTTCAGCCTTATCAGTTGGACATTCCGGTTTTTATACTGCTTTTTTTTTAATTCACTAACGCTCTAAAAATGAATATTTCAGCCGCAGTAAAGAATCAACGTTGGCGGATTTTGATTCTTGACATCCTTTACGATCGGTTTTGATGCCTAGAGTACGGAGACCTGTACGATTTCGTCAACTTAGTGAGTTTGATAGGGGCCGTATAGTGGGACTTCGGGAAGCTGGACTTTCTTTTCGGGCAATTACAGTTAGAGTGCAAAGAAGTGTAGACACTGTGGTTAGGTGTTGTCAGGCATGGCTTCGAGAAGGCCGTACGCAAAGAGCAAGGGGCACTGGACGCCGCCGTGGAACAACAGACCGTTAAGATCGCCGCCTAAGATTATTGGCCTTAAGGGACCGTTTCTCCAGTACCAGGTCCATTGCAAATGAATGCTTTGCAGAACACGGAAGACCTATTGGCATGCGAAGTGTTTACCGACGAATGAGAAGTTTTGGCTTGTTTTCATACCGGCCACACTGGGTCCTCCCTTTAACTCGAGAACACCGACGTAATCGTCTTGAGTGGTGCAGACAACGGTCACTCTGGGATCAGGAATGGAACAGTGACGAGTCTCGATTTTGTTTAGGCATGCACGATGGTCGTGCCAGGGTTAGAAGGCGACGTGGTGAAAGGAGGAATCCACAGTTTTTTGTTGAAAGACATGTTCATCACACTGTTGGAGTTATGGTTTGGGGTGCTATAGCTTATGGTTCCAGGTCACCTTTAATCTTCATCAGAGGTAACATGAACGCGCAGCGTTATATCCACGAAGTTCTGGAACCCCATCTTTTACCCTATCTTGACACCCTGGCAGATCCAACTTTCCAACAAGATAATGCCCGACCACATGTTGCAAGAGTCACGATAGACTTCTTTCAACATAATGATGTCGCATTGTTACTATGGCCACCAAGATCTCCCGACTTATCCCCAATTGAGCACGTGTGGGATATGATGGGTAGGAGATTGCTCAATTTGCAACGTCCTCCTCAGACTCTAGAAGCACTTCGAGAGGAGTTGGTGGTTGCCTGGAATGAGATACCACAGGAAGACATTGACCACCTGATCAGAAGCATGCCTAGGCGCGTTGGAGAATGCGTAGCACATCAGGGTGCATCCACACATTATTAAAGGTCAAAGAGCTTTAAAGCAGTGCAACATTTTGAAATTTTTATCATTTACTTATTATGCTTCATTAAGTACTTATACAAAGTTTTATTAAAATAAAACCATTTAAACTGGGTGTTCGGATTTATATGTCACTTAGTATATAAACAAGGCACAGTAAGGACTCCCAACTTGACAAAGGTATCTCTGCAATCGTCCCTGTAGCCCAAACGGCTCACAACCCTAACTGCTCTTCTTTGCAAGGCTAACAGTCTATGTAAGCCATTCTCAATTTGGCTACAGAAACACAAGAAGACAGACTCCGTAACACATATATCCCTTTGGTGGCCTTTCCAGCAACACTGTCCTTGCGAAGGTCCCGTTGCAATCTTGGATCCAAAGTAACCCCCAGAAACTTGGCTTCGCCAACCAAATCACTATCTCCAGGCAGGCTTCGCACGGAGAACACCATTCTCTTTGTCTTATCTTTATTTAGCAACAACTTATTGGAGCAACACCACAGCTCATCCTCATCCTGCGCAGCCAGAGACTGTGACATTGAGCCCTCAAAACTGTTAGCGGCGTGAGAGACGGTCGTATCATCCGCGAGGAGAGTAAAGTTTGCCACATTGTTATTGAGAGGTAAATCATTTATGTAAATTAAAAAAAAGGATGTTTAACCCGTACCAATTTTTTTCGAAAAGGATGAAGGGCCTCCGAAACGTCAAAAACGAAGCTTGAGCGCTTTCTCCTTTTTTAATTTTTGGCCGCCGTCACTGGACCGGTTTTCAAAAACTACAACGCTCTGTCGAATTTTCTAAAATTTTCGCGATTGCAATACTTCCTCGCCAGTAGGCGTGGGAAGTAAAATATAGCACTTGTAAGCTGAAACCCATGATGGGATGACAACAGCATGCTCCTACAAGGGTTACCTGTGAAAAACAATGAGACCCAACAGGGCCATTCCAACCTGAATTATTCGGTACTCAAAACGTCAATATAGTCGTAAAACGGATATTCCGTAACTTTTAACCATGATCTTAAAGCCACTTTCTCCTTTCTTTATGCCGTAATAAAAACGTCACGCTGCCGATTTTGTTATGTCGCCCCCTACTGTTGTGGTTAAGGAACAGGTAAGATTTTGGTGGTTTCACCGCAATTCGATCTCAGATTCGTGACCCATATTGCCGATTTGTGCAAAACACCTCCTGTGTACCTGGCGCCAGGGAGGAATTTATCGGTATTAGGATTGGCTAGGAGATTCGTGGGAACCGTCTGCTATTGTTAAAGCCATGTGGCATCAGAGGCGGAAAACTGGTAGCTTGCTGTTAGTTTATCATTGGTTTTTCTGTATCTATATACAGTAATGGACAAATATGAATATTTACCTAAATACATAGAAAACGAATTCATACTTCATTGCTCCATAAGCAAATGCGTTATCAGTAGAAAAACTAAATTTCTTGTTTTTACATTATCTGCAATGAACACAATACAAGTATGAATATAAGCACTGTTTTATGAGGGACAAAAGTATGCAGACAAATTCTTTTCAACATTAGTTTAGTACAGTGTCGTGTCAGAAGAGGATTAGTTTGTGTTCATCAAGTATTGTGGAATAAGTTGAGCGATTTTAAGACGATGCCGCGTGGTCCAGCAATTTCTTTCGATGTTCATTGTTATACAAAGATGGTCAATGTCAAGTCGACATTACGAAAAATTTGAAGCTGAAGCGTAAAGCAGTTTGGGCAATATTGAACAAACATAAACAAAAAGGTATCTTGGAAGCCTCTAAGAGAAGTGGTCGGCCTAGAAAACTAAATGCTAGATCACTTAGATTCATAAAAGTATACTAAGTGACATATAAATCCGAACACCCAGTTTAAATGGTTTTATTTTAATAAAATTTTGTATAAGTACTTAATGAAGCATAATAAGTAAATGATAAAAATTTCAAAATGGTTGCACTGCTTTAAAGCCCTTTGACCTTTAATAATGTGTGGACGCACCCTGATGTGCTACGCATCCTCCAACGCGCCTAGGCATGCTTCTGATCAGGTGGTCAATGTCCTCCTGTGGTATCTCATTCCAGGCAACCACCAACTCCTCTCGAAGTGCTTCTACAGTCTGAGGAGGACGTTGCAAATTGAGCAATCTCCTACCCATCATATCCCACACGTGCTCAATTGGGGATAAGTCGGGAGAGCTTGGTGGCCATGGTAACAATGTGACATCATTATGTTATGTTGAAAGAAGTCTATTGTGACTCTTGCAACATGTGGTCGGGCATTATCTTGTTGGAAAGTTGGATCTGCCAGGGTGTCAAGATAGGGTAAAAGATGGGGTTCTAGAACTTCGTGGATATAACGCTGCGCGTTCATGTTACCTCTGATGAAGATTAAAGGTGACCTGGAACCATAAGCTATAGCACCCCAAACCATAACTCCAACAGTGTGATGAACATGTCTTTCAACAAAAAACTGTGGATTCCTCCTTTCACCACGTCGCCTTCTAACCCTGGCACGACCATCGTGCATGCCTAAACAAAATCGAGACTCGTCACTAAAGACAATACTGTTCCATTCCTGATCCCAGAGTGACCGTTGTCTGCACCACTCAAGGCGATTACGTCGGTGTTCTCGAGTTAAAGGGAGGACCCAGTGTGGCCGGTATGAAAACAAGCCAAAACTTCTCATTCGTCGGTAAACACTTCGCATGCCAATAGGTCTTCCGTGTTCTGCAAACCATTCATTTGCAATGGACCTGGTAGTGGAGAAACGGTCCCTTAAGGCCAATGATCTTAGGCGGCGATCTTCACGGTCTGTTGTTTTACGGCGGCGTCCAGTGCCCCTTGCCCTTTACGTACGGCCTTCTCGAAGCCATGCCTGACAACACCTAACCACAGTGTCTACACTTCTTTGCACTCTAACTGCAATTGCCCGAAAAGAAAGTCCAGCTTCCCGAAGTCCCACTATACGGCCCCTATCAAACTCACTAAGTTGACGAAATCGTACAGGTCTCCGTACTCTAGGCATCGTAACCGATCGTAAAGGATGTCAAGAACCAAAATCCGCCAACGTTGATTCTTTACTGCGGCTGAAATATTCATTTTTAGAGCGTTAGTGAATTAAAAAAACCAGTATAAAAACCGGAATGTCCAACTGATAAGGCTGAAAATTTTTTCACTTGTTATTTACAGTAAGATAAATACATTCACCAACTTTTATTAAAATAAAACCATTTAAACTGGGTGTTCGGATTTATATGTCACTTAGTATATAAAACCACAAAAAATATGTGTGATGTAAAAAACTAGTCAATCATCCTCGGTCTCCCCAAGCGATCCACAGGGTACCTCTTAGCTTACGTCACGCAATTGCGGAGTAAACTCACCCAGTCTTATACAAGATAAAGAGTAGAGGTCCAAGCGCTGATCCTTGAGGCACTACGTAGAAAATCCTGAATTGAGCTAGTGACAGTACTACGGAAACCATCGGTTCCGGAATCTTAGATAAGACGGGTAGGATACCGATTGGCCTGTACGACGCCTCGCCAGCACACGTTGAGTCGCGTGCAACTGGTCGCAGGTGTTAAGATCGACGCGGTGAGCCCGGAGGCGATCGATCGTAAGCTCGGGCGACAACATTCGCTTCGCCAACCGACCCACCGAGCAATATATCTTTGTTTAGAACTGCATATTTTAATGTTGACAACGCCACAGATGCATACCTTAGATTTAGCGGGAATATATTCTAGTAAACAGAACCGTCTACATGCAAAACGCAGAAAAAAAATCCTCCCCGCCGTCGAAGGAAGGAAAAAATACGGGCGTCTGTCCAGATCAATAATACCCGTAATCGGCTACAATAAAATTTAGAATTACAAATTTGCTAAACGTATAAAATTTGTTTTAAATATCGATGCGAAATTTTAAATTCCGCCATCGGACCTTATCGAAACTTCATATCGCGGGAGGCGGTGGGTTTCGGCGATGCGGCGGCGGTGGATCAACCGAGACCATAGAGCTGGAACGTTCCTAGAATATGCACTTCAATTCACAACTGTCGGTTGGTTTGTCTGGAAAGTCTAATATACCAAGGGTTCAAGACACAAAGCCCTAGAGCAGCGGTCGCCAACCCTTTCAGTATGTTGAGCTACTTTGACAATTTTAGAATAAACAGTGAGCTACCTATACTATAACTATCTAAAACTGTAATGACTCATCGATGTTCACGTGAACATCACTTAACTACCAGTAGTCGGCTGTTCATAGGCGGGGTATGAATGTTTAACATGGGTGAACTAGATTTGTCACATGCTTAATAAAGAGTGGTTTGAAACATATTGTAAGTCAAAAATTTGGGAATTACCTTTATTCATCGTCGCTTCCACTTACATCTGACAGTAATAAACTGTCGCTATCGCTTTCCTCGTTAAAATTGACTATAACTGGCTCTATGATGGTGTCGATGTGGTGGTCAAGCTGCCACATTCTTGTTTCTTCCTTCACAACATGACGGATAGCTTCGGGCGTTACTAGCTGTATGGAAGTCTCAAGTAAAACCTTTACGTCTGGTAATTTGAAGGTTGTGTTATGGCGCGCAATATAACCCTTCACTTGAGCCCTATTGGGTTCAGTTCACAGTGGTAGGGCGGTAACCGCAGCACAGTGACACCACATTGACGGGCCATCTCATCAGTCACGTAACTAATGTTCGCAGGTTTGTGCTGTTTAATTTTTTCATACAATTCCGCTTTCACACATGAATCGTCAAACGGGACTCCTTTTTCGCGCAACCATTGCTGCATGTCACTTTTTCGAGATCCCATAGTCGGTACACGTTCGGCTCGACGACTATGGTAGGAAGCATTATCCATGACGATCACAAAGTTGGGCTCAACTCGCTGAAGCACCCCTTGAAACCAGCTCTCGAAGCAGCTGGCATTCATTTCGTCATGGTAATCACCTCCTCTCTTGGAGACGAAAATCAAGTCACACTCTTCTAAAAAGCCACTATCGCTACCAGTATGAGTTACGAACAATCTTTGACCTTTCCCTGACGGTCCACGAAGACCTGTTGACAAACCTTCAATGCTTGCTTGTCGGTTACTCACTACGTTTTCGTCTATCCAGGTTTTTTAACTGTGTGACCTGCATTTACCCATGTCTGGTCCAAATAATAGATTTTTCTGCTTTGTCGCCTATATTCAATCATTTCGCGTAAGTATTTTCGACGCCAGGCGACTATTTCAGGTCTCTCTATCAATACTGACTTCCGATTACGCGTTTCGTAACGAAAATTAATTTCGTGCAGGGATTTCCTCATTACCTCGACGCACATTTGGGGTATAATTTCATTTTCCTTGATCGCTGTATGTACAGCCTTGAGGGTTGGTATCTCATTCCTAAAGAAGAATGAATGTACGGTTCGCCATTTTGCTATCGTCATCCAATTTTCTTCTTCTGGAATTAAACCTTCAGAGTTTTGTGACTGGTACCAAGAGTTGACAGATCCCACACATGTGTCACTCCTTGAAATGTAACAGTCAGCTGTATTC